GCCCTTCTTCATATGCCCTGGAGTGGTATAGCTGGATCTTGAGGTAGCACTATTCCTAATTTTCTGAGAAGGTGCCAAATTGGTTTCCAAAGTGGTTTTACAAGTTTACATTCCCAGCAGCAATGAAGGACCTAGATCCCCTGCTCATATGTAGCTCCTAGGTAGCTCATTTTCATGGGGGAACCCTAGTAAAGGGAGCAGGAGCAGTCTCTGGTGTGAGCTCCATTGCCTGCTGTTTGATCACCTCCCCCTGGTGAGGTGGCCTTACTAGGCCACAGAGAAAGGAGAGCCATACAGTACTGATGAGATCTGAAAGGCTAGAGTCAGATAGTAGTGGAGGAGGACCTCCTATATCAGTGAACTAGGGGAGTAACATGAGAGGGAGAAGAAGATGGAAGGGTGGAACAAGGAGGAGATGAGGGAAGTGGCTACAACCAGGATACAAAGTGAATAAATTGTAATTTATGATAATAATAGTAATAGTAATAATCATAATAAATTTAGAAAATAAACATTATGCCATTGTCCTAATTTCAGCCAAAAAATTAGGGTGTAGTGTACATATCATCTGAGTTGAATAAATAATATCACAGAATAACAATAATCAAAAGGACCTTGGGTGAAAAACTGGAAGTTTTCTAAATTTGATAAAACTAAAATCTTTTGACTTTTCCACAGGCTAGAGAACATTCCAGTGAATCAGCCTTGGGGACTCTTTGTGACTCTTTTATGACATTAGCTTAATGATAACAGCCAGAGACACAAGGAAATCTGATTCTGAGGCCACAGACAGTTCAGAGTTCCCTGAGAAATGGTTTTCTGAGGTTTCCTCTCACAGGGTAGCCAATGTTAGAGAAAAGGCTTTAGCATTTTTCATCTCACTTTCCCCTAAGATCTCTGTTGTTATTGTTCAGTGTTTTGAAAAGAAAGCACAGTCAAGTCAGGGAGAAGATCCACAGGGTGTTTGGGCCAGTGGACATAAATGTGAAATTACTGTTTATAATTCACGATGTTTTACTTTGTGTCATTTATCTTCTCTTGTGTGAGTGGTAAGATAAGTCACTTATGACTCAGCTGGTCCTGATCCAGTCTTTATCACTACACTCATGAAAATACACTCATGAAGATAAAGCCACAGCTATCATATGTCCTTTCAAAGTAGAGTTTCAGGTTACTTAGGCCATAGACCAACCTGATGCTATTATATAAAAATAAAGAGCACTCTGTGTGAACCATCTCTTATATTTACACACCTTGGTCTGACACAGCATTATCTGCTATAGAAATGAATGGGTAGTATATATACAGTCATTCATAGTAGATACCTTTTAACTTCAACTAAAAACACCATTTTAAAGTGAACACAAAGCATATATGCTGTGGCAATGTATATGTTTTTAAGGGGAGATAGTCTTGGTTATCAGAGTAATCAGAGGCAAAATGTAAAGAATACAGTGGAAATAAATTATAAGCAAGTATTTAGAAGTCTTCTCTGAATAAGTCACATGTGAAAGGACCCGGTCACCAATAGATAGATAGATAGATAGATAGGTAGGTAGATAGATAGATAGATAAAGTAAGACATTACATTTGAGTTGTGATAGTTGAGAAAAAAAATTATGGATGATTTGACCTTACGAAACAAAGAGGTCTGGCACCAGTGGCTATAATGTCACATTGAGGCAAATGGGTTATTTCTCAGCTCTGTGCTTGAGGAAAAACCTACAAGTCAACTTAGCAGTAAGACCCCTTTATTTTTTAATTGCTGAATTGAGCAAATATTGAATATAGAACATTTTTTGATTACCATCAATGTATTGCCTCTTTATTAACTTGGTTGCTAAACACCACAAGTAGTAAGAAAGTGAAAGGATTTTCCACAAAATTAAAACAAATATTGCTAATATCATTAGATTTATCATTAGAATTCAAGTTTGAGTCATGATTAATAAAAAAAAGAAGGCCATGAATTTTTAAAAGAGCAAGAAGGTAATATATGGAAAGGTAGGAGGCAGGAAAGAGAAGGAGGACAATTACATTATAATTATGTTAATATATTATATAAATATATCATGTTCTCAAAAATAACCTATATAAAATATAGTAAAAATTAAAATATTTGACCTTTCAATATATCACTTTTTAAGTACTCTGTAATAAATTTCTGGTAACCAAATTTCAGTTCAAAATCTCAGCCTATTTTCAGCTATTGCTTTTTACATATACATATACATATATGTTATTAAATGATTGATTTTATTAATTCCCTGATTCAAGAACATTTATGGAGCACATACTTACTGGGCAGTCAGTGGCTTGTGTAGCATATAGAATGAAATGCATTGTCTGTCATTACAGGTGTGTAGTTGTAGAGATATTCATTAATAAGCGATCAGTGGCTCAGTAAATGTAATTTTCTTTTTTTTTTACATTAGAGACAAGAATATGTTCATAAACTTCATAGAAAATTGGCATGATTCACTACAGAAATTCCTCCTTTCCTCTTGAAAACAGTTCTGACTTGAAATGACATGTAAGGTTGAATAAGTGGTAGAGAATACAGTAATGGGTGGGTGTCAGATAGCATGGGCAGGGAAGAAGGCTCTGAATATGTAAAATGTAGTAGGCTCTTGAACTTAAACAAAACATTAACTGGAATGGTCACACCAAGTGCCTTGAAGCTCCTGCATGATCTTGTGAAGGAAATTTCAGGTAAAGTTAGCATGCTTGGTAGGTTAATAGAAATGTGGTAAGACATGTGGCCAAATAGGAAGAACAATCCAGACAGGAGGACAGGATCAGAGAAGTAGAGGTGATGCAGAATACAAGCAGCCTTATTGAATAGAAGGTCACTGATACGGAGCATTGAACAGAGGAAAACACAATCCAATGTTCATTTTAACAGGATTATGTCTCTGTTTGGAGAAAAGACTGAAGACGATAACAATAGAAACAAAGAGTATACCTATTGGAGCAAGCTATAGAACAGCATAGTTATGCAAAGGAAAAGGAAAGGGATTGGTAGATAGTTAAGGAATTACCTAAAAGTGTTTAGAATCTTGATATGTACGGTTAACAACATTGAGGTGTTAGATTTAACAGAGAAGAGATAAAAAACAAAGATAAGAGGTATGAGACATGAAAGGTAAGTGTGACTATGGCCTGAGTTACTAATAAAATCAATGGTCTCACCATAATGCTTTGTACATATTTTATTGCATAAATAAATAGGTACATCGCTACTATTAAAATATTTTCAGGGTGAAAACTGTTTTATTAAAATGTACTGTTTTATAGTGAGCACATTAATTGTGATTTTTTTCAAGTGATGGGCTTACAAAAGTGGTTAACTATACTAGTATGAAAGCTAGTTAAATTTTATATTTTTAAATAGCGTTTATATGTAATCTAAAGCCAATGTTTCTTAGCCAGGGTTGCTTAGTTTGTGACTATAGATAAATAATAAGTTCAGTAGTATAGCACTGTGGCACTCTGGGATTCTGTAGTCCATTTGTAGCAGGCACAGAGCAGTCACCATGTAGAAGAAGGAAAATGAAAAGGCTGGCTTTCTAGGAGTCAAGCATGGGATGTTTTTCACAAAGTACAGAATAATAGTTACTATGTCAAATACTATTGAATTTTGATGAATATGTTGAGAATCGGTTACTTGATTCAACAATAAATGTCAGCTCTCTTTACACACACACACACACACACGCGTGTGTGTGTGTGTGTGTGTGTGTGTATTATTCCCTTTGCATTATTCTTGCTGTCTCCTGCACTTTTCTCAGGGTACGTACTGTTCATACCATGTCCATCAACTTGCATGCCATTCTTTATGTGCCCTATGGAAAAATAGATAATAACCTCTTGCAAAACTAAGACTTGTTAGCAAGTCTCATAAAGTTGAGTTTACTTGTTTTTCAGATTAATAATATAAAATTTACATACTATCACTAAGCTCTCTTTCAATTAAATTCAGTTTTATTTGCTTAATGATAATGTTGGCCAGTAGTAGTATATTACCTTGTAACAGTGCTTACTTTTATTGTTTGTTCCAAAGGAAGCCATTACGCAATTAAAATAGCCAGATTTGAGACTCCCTCTCTTGAGCTATCAGGCTGCTCTGGCTACTATCACCTTCTTGTTCAAGCTAGCCAAAGTTCTCTTCTTCATTTCCTCCTCATTACTTGAAGGTTTAAATACTTGCCACCTACCCCTTCCCAGTGTTCTCTCCCACTACCAGGAGAATTCTTGATGTTGTCAATATCCATTCCAGTGTTTGAGCTTGATTTCTAATTGTGTGATTTCCCTAGGTAGAGTTGCCTGAGTTTCATGTCAGTACAGTTTTTCTACACCAAATATATTTCCAAAGTTGAGATTAAATTACTGTAATTGTTGGTACTAAAGAGCATTTATTTTTTTTTAATTATTTTAGAAGAAACATAGATTCTGTCTCCTGGTGTCCTATTGTTTCATATACTGAGTGCCTCTCGGTCTTTGATTCTAATTTCTGTCCTATCTGCATAATAGTACTTTAAAAAAAAATACATGTTTTTTCTTTTCTTTCTTTTTTCTATCTTTCTTTGTTTTTCTAACATAGATTAAAAGAAATACCCAAATAAAATTTGCAACAGATGCCTATGCCCAACTTTTAGCATGTCATTTGGCATTAATGATTGCATACTGTTGAACTCTTACCTGCCCATAAGAGAAAGGTGAGTGCCTAAGCTCATGAATCTAATAAGTAAAAACCAAGTGTGGACTGCAGATCTGATTCCAAGTGCATGTTTTTATTGTTATTTAAAAAAGTGCATTATTTCAAATGTCCAGTGGTTAAAATAGCTGCATTGGCTTTCTGCCCAGAGCTGTGTTAAAATACAATGGTGATTCAATAAATATTGTCACCAGTAGTTATCTGTGTTGTTGGTCATGGCAGATCAAGAAATGCACTGAATTGTTCTAATGGACATGCTTTATGTCCTGTTTTTGTTTTTTAGGTTGGCAAACACGTTGCCTATTTACTGCATTGAGACCCCAATGGAGAACAAGGTGGGTGATGATTTATACTAAATGGTTCTCACAATATGCTGAGCACTATAACAGCAGCTAACATGAAGTGGCTCATTATATGCTGTCAAATCCGGTAACAGCACTGACAAACTTCCCTCTCTACAGTAATTTGTAGGAAGTCTAGCCACTACAAAAAAGGTCGGAATATTTTTTTTTTTTTAATGCTACCATATAGCAGAAACAGCCTATCCACTGAGTCTCATTTGCTGATTTTGCATCGGTTTCCCTTTGCTAATTTAAAACAGGCTTCATGGTTTCTGATTTAACTTCAGAGATAGCTGACTTTGATATTAGCTTCTCTTGTAAAATCCCCTTTCTTTGGTACATTGTACAGAATAAATACTTTGCATAGGTTTTGGTATGGACAGCTGCTTATGTGACACCCCTCTGAGAACAGCCCTGCTATACCCTCCTTAGCTCCTCCTCTGAACAGCCATAACAACACACACACACACACACACTCCTTTACTTTCCACCACCACAGCACCCACAGATGATGATCATACTTACAGAGGCATAAGGATAGGACGCAGCAGGCAGGATACTGACACTTTCCTTATGATTATGTGTCTCTGTGTCTCACTAAATTGTAATCTTCTTGGTGTGTGTTGGGGGGGGGGTGCTTTATCCAGTGCTTACAAATCATGTTCATCCCCTATTACTGTGTAGTGACCAAATCAGTGAATTATTACTCTAGGGAAAGTGCATTATTAAAGAAGGGGATAGCAGGTGATTTTCCTGCCTTCCTGTGCCTTAGCACAGGGACTGACAGTGTACATAAGAAAACGACATATTTGCTTAGTGGAAGGAGGCAATGAGTAAATCCATCAGTCAGATGGTTCTCTGTGGCCAAATTAAAGAGGAGACAGAAATTCTGATGATTTCCAATCATTTATTCCTCAGGCCACAAGGCATAATGCCCTAAAAATGTTTGTTTATTTTGGAAGGTAAAGGCTGATCTGAAGCTATTTCCTTTATTTTTATATTCAAATGCCTATAAAACAGAAAAGCGCTGGAGACCTATTCATTGCTCACAAATGATCTATGGGGTAATAATGTGCTGGCTTTTCCAGCTGTGCTGCACTTTGGTACTATCTTGGGTTTAATTGAAAATATGCTGTGACCTTGGTTTTGTTCACTGGGCGTAGGGGGTGTATAATTGGCATGGAACCTCTGAAGAACTCTCTTTTCAATGAATGTCATTTGGCTAATTTGGGGTGAGCCTGAGGGAAATAATGTGTGAAATCCTGTAAATACAAGGCGCCTACTCATATGGCACTAACAACTTTTTTTTTAATCTGCCTTTTATTTTACAAAATCTATTTGTTGAATCCTACATGCTATCAGTATGATAATAGTATTGTCCTTAACAGTCTCCTGTTTCATTATGATTAAATAAACAGCTTGTGGATTGCAGTCCAAAATGCCTGTGCTCCACTCTTAACTTAAGGGGTTTCCATAGAAACCATGGGCAGCAAGTTTAACTGACATTAATTGGGCTTGAAACTATATGGAGCATTGATATCTCTGTTAACTTCTCCAGCATTCTGTATGAGAATCTTCTTTGTTTTAGCAAACCTTTGAAAACTTCCCTTGTCCCAAGTCTCCTCCCCATGTTCCTGCTCCCCACCCCCATCCTCCTCTTCCACCCCCTGCCTTTTCCCTTCTCTGTCCTCCTCTGTCTCTTATTAGCATTGAGGAAGTAATTTGGACTCAGTTAGATTTAACAAATGCAATAATACTAAAATTGACCCTGATACTTAAGTGTAATTGTGTTATTAGCTGGAAATGCTTTTCTTCAAAACTAAAAAGAATTGAGAGTGAAGTTTACCAATGTAACACATGCTGGCAGGAAGGAACCTTTGACTGCTGGTTGAAAGTTTCTGGTGCATGTATCAAGATGCACTTTCTTCTCTAGCTGTGACTTTTCCTTTATTTATTCAAGGGAGGTGAAAATTTCTTCTCAGTCTCAACGTTCATAATGGAGCAGAGCCACACATTTTGCTCATAACAATCCAAGAAAATAGAATTGTTGATCTGAGAAAGAAAAAAAAAAAAGGGAACTATCAGGTGCCAGCAACTTTGTTGGATTTTTGTTTGTTTGTTTGTTTGTTTGTTTTGTCAACCCAAAAACAGTAAAGCTGGTGATACAAATTTAGACCCCATCTAGACTGATTATAACAACTTATATAGGTATGGAAATGTGCCATATTTATCAATAAGAACATGAATGTGAACACTCTAAGACATGGGGTATTAATAAGAATAAAGATGATAATGCAACTTTGCCCTGTGTCACCCCAGCTTCTCAGGAGGCTTAGTCAAGGTAGTCTCAAGTTCATTGCCTGCCTGATCTACAGAGTAAGTTCAAGGCCTGTCTGAACTTACAAACCCTAGGTTCTTGGTTGAACCACAGCTGAGGTGGTGGTAGAAAGATGACTAATGAATGCAGCAGTAAATGATGCTACTAGTCTTTCTCCATGCCTTATTAAACAAGTTGCAAAAGTGGTAAATCTTCTATGCAAAGTTTATGTAGCTATTTGGTAGTATGTAAACACATTACAGCAGTTCAAGGGGGAGGTTTACACAGACAAAGTTTTAATCACTCATTGTCCCACTGGGTATAAACGTCAAACTTGCACTATTTGCTTCCTCACCTCTATGACAGGATTATGAGTTTACTCTTTGGAACTGTTCAGGAATATGTGTATATATATATATATATATATATATATATATATATATATATATATATATATATATATATATATATATTACTACTTAACTTTGGCCGATACATGCACTGTGGGCTTTAATTTCTGTCAGTCTCATTCTCCCCACTTTTTTATTGCTTTCCCTTTTTAATATGGTTTCAAAGTAAAAATAATTTTTTTTTTCCAAATTCAACTTAATACCTACCATTTAAAGTAATCTCATGATTCATAAACTAACTTAACACGAATAAAATGGCAGGATAATGAGTAGGATAAAAAAAATGGAGCTTCAGCATTGCTAAAAATAAACAATCAAAATATCCTGAGAAAGATGACTTTATCCTGTTCCTTTTCAAAGGTAAAAGTCTCAAATTCATTATTTCTAATTTAGGTATTCTCTTTCAAGAGGTTAAGAGCTAACCTGCACCTGATATGACTTAAGACTCACCTTTCTAGTGAAGGTGAGAGGAAGCCGCTTTGTAGGGCAGAAGGCAAAGGAGAAAGAAGACAGCTATGTTCATCTCTCTTAGAGCTGTGATCAGACCCTTCTCCTTGATTTGAAGGGAGAAGGAAGTGAAACCACAGAATGGACAGGGTGTTGATTTTTCATGGAAATATGAATAAGTACTGCTGGTTGAAAAAAAATAATGAGAAAAAAATACATTTTTTTCTTTTTATAAATCAAATAGTTTATGTATCATTTGCAGATGATACTGGATAAATGGAGAATTAAGAAGAACTATTTTTATAAAATTTAATACTAACTATGGGAAAAGGGTCCACTGTGTAAAACATATCTTTGGATTCAAAGTAGAGCAATTGCAATTGTATCAATAAAATGGGTAAACCAAAAAAAAAAAAGAACTATTGTGATGAAAAAGGGGAAAAAGTACAGCTAGGACTAATTTTGATAAGAGTCAACTCCTGGTAAAATGGTTGCTTGTCAACCATCATCAAGATACTCACCCATGAGAAAACACAAGTAGATAGGATTTACCAGCAGAGACATTTTCCTACAGTATTACCATTTTTGTAGAATATTGGTACTTCTTTTACGGCTGTGTGCCTGTACCTGCCTCATTAAGATAGTCCTGTATTATTTTTTGGAAGAAATATCTTAGATGAAAATTAATTATAAACAAAGGCTTCTAATTTGTCATTCATGAGTGAAAGGCAGCCACTTTGTTGTTTCTGTGCTAATTAGTAAATAACTTGGTATGTATGTATATTTTAAGAGGTACGAATACCTCCTGAAATTGTTCTCTTCTACTGTAACCAACACCAGTTGATATGCCAAAATAGTCATAGAAAAACCGGGCCCACTGTTGATGGAGAGCTACTGGCACTCAATTGCTGCTGAGTGAAAAATAATGTCACCAGGGAGAAACGCTCCTTATAGAGTATCCAGTTCCAAGTGGTCAAGTAGTCAGTCCTAACCACATGTGCATATAAGTGATACTAATTGGCCTGGGTAGGTTTCACAATAATGATCATAGAAGAAGAAGTCATAGAGGTTGGTGGGGAAAGTGGGAAGAGCTACAGAGGAGAGGCAGAGGATGCTACAGAAGAGAGACACAGGAGTAGAAGAGGAATAAATATAGTTTATTTATGCATGAAATTCTCAAAGTATGAAAACTTTAAGGAAAATGAAAGAAACACATGGAAAATCATTACAGAAATGTTTGTGGAAATGTTTTAATAGAACTTTATATCCCATCACACTGACAGGATTTTGCATCTATCTGCATGTCTGATCTGTCCCTGTTCATATGGTAGTTGCAGCTTTGAAAGTGGGAACAGGGTATCAGGAGTGACAGTCACACCATCATTTCCTTACTTTTAGTGGAAATTTTTACTCACATTTTTTTTATTAACCTTTATCTTTCTCTTATGCACTTGGCATAGAAATAAATCACACATTGTTTAAAAAGGGTAGAGAAAGTTGAGTTGCATTATTTCCACCCAGTATCTTGAATATACATATTCAACTCTGCTTGGGCTTTATGAAACACTTTTTATTTCTTTTCTGTTGCTCGTGTGTATGCAATGTATTGTGAATACATTCCTCTCCTCCATTATCTCATTTCTCCTCCCACAGCTTTTGACCCACTTAATTTCTCCCAACCAGACAGCAGTCCCACTTCTCTCTCTTTTTTTGTTCTCTGTCTAGTATGTGTGTGTATGCATGCGTGTGCATGTGTGTAATAGGTATGTGCATGTTTATGTGTGTACTTTGCATGTCCTGTGCAGATGATCACGGCTATT